TCAACTATTTATTCTAACTTCATTCGCTCTTGACAATGGTCGCAGTAACGTACCGAAAGCTCGAGCCTCGAGCTTTCGGTACGTTACTGCGACCATTGTCAAGAGCGAATGAAGTTAGAATAAATAGTTGAAAATTCATACAGTTAAACAGTTGGAAAATTCATTCAGTTGTACAGAAAGGAAGAAGAAAAAACTTCAATGAATAATACATTTGAATGCGCTCGAGTAATAAAAGAAAAATTCAGCAGAATTTTCAAGATGTACTTTATCGCAGTATTACATTAGGCATCTAGCAAATAAGGAGATATCTTTCCCGCACATGTAAGATATTCGTAGACAAATGTGTCAAATGGTTTGTCTTTCTGTTGCCTCTCCGCTCGTTTAACGTGCTCTCCTTCCATGTCAAATGTGTGGCAATATCCACACATAATATATGTTGTGTGAAGAAAGATATCTCCTTATTTGCTAGATTCCTACTCATTGATCAAAATATTTAGTTATGTTAGCATCATTGTTATGAAAGTTGGACAGATATGATCCGATGGCTGAGAGTATGTAACCTTCATATTTTGAGTGGATAGTCTACAGTTGTCGAAGAGTATTTGCTATGACTTTGAAGTCTAATTGATGTTTCTAAAAGGAATTATGAATTTTTCTTGCAAAGGACCTCATATCTCACAGCCTCATTTCCAGAGACCTCGATCGTAAAATAACTGTCTTTCAGTAACCACTAAGGATACACCTCCTCTCTTCTTTCACCTTGTTGCCAAATGCGGAGCACACGTCCAATTGAGCTCCAATTTATAGCAGAGATAGAACATCGAAAAAGAAAATCGAGGTATTTTTGTCCAGAATTCCTAAAATGTTCTTATAAGGAAGATTTTTCTGGAAAACTTCGGTTTTCATCCAGTTACATCACGACCCCTCGAACAAATGGTCCGATCGAGCTCAATTTATTACCATGAATACTTCAGATCCTATCGTAGGATGTAAATTTTTTTTCCAAAAAATATGCTTTCCTTCTCGAGATATACGAAAAATACTGAAAATCACGCAAAAAAAAAGTCAGATTTTTTCGGTTTTTTTCACTGACTTTTAGCAGTTTTCGTATATCTGGAGAAGGAAAGCATATTTTTCGAAGAAAAATTTACATCCTACGATAGGATCTGAAGTATTCATGGTAATAAATTGAGCTCGATCGGATCATTTTTTCGAGGGGTCGTAATGTGACCCGATGATGACGGGAGTTTTCCAAAAAACCCATATAAGAATATCTCAGAAAATTCTGCGCAAAAAATACTTCGATTTTCTTTTTCGAGGTTCTACCTCTGCTATAAATTGGAGCTCAATCGGGCGTGTGCTCCGCATTTGGCAAGTAGAGTTTTGAAATGACAAACTTAGACTTTTTTTGCTTCGAAAGATATACCACGGGGAGCCTATCGGAGAAGATCCATTTTAGCAGAGAACTATGACCCCGAGTGTCCACATTCTTAATCTGAAATTCGCAGCTCTCTAGCTCACTCCGTTCTCCAGTTATTCAAAAAACATCCGTGTTCTTTATATTTTGAAATGGATAGTAGTATCTTGGATTAAAACTCGTAAACAACCGTAGACAACAGAGATGAAGCAATAATATGTGCAGTGTTCATAGGCCTAGTGTTGATAAATATTTGTGCAAGGTTTGTAAGTATTCCATTAGATCTAGAGGAAGAAATGTTTGGATAATTAACCTTATGCAGACGCTCGAATGTTTATATAATTTGGTGTTTGCTAGCTGCAAGATCGAAAGAGTCATTTTGAATTTTAAACAATTCTCTACCGGTGGTCTTGGATATTATTGCGTACAATCTTACAGCTCAATAAGGTAATTCAAGTCATCTTCTAATTGAAATGACTTGCTATTTGCAGCACCTGTGACTGTTTGTTCATTTCTGTTGCTATTATTTACAATTGAATACAACTCCATACAAGATATATGCGAATACTTAATACTTCGTGTCATACAACATATTTATTAAAAAATTATTTATATTACCTATTAGAAAGAACTTATTTTTTAAACTCGTTCGTACCCATGGACGGAGAAATATACTTTAAATGAATCGATTCTAGTTTGTCGCTATCAAGCATTTGTTCATTAGCGTGAGAACACTGTTCAAAATAAAAGAGCAGAAGCTAAGAAGTACTGAAGTGGAAAGAATACAATTAAAATACACTCGACATATTTGATCATATGGTAGATAGAGTATATTGTCTAAAACAACTAATTTTCGCTTGTTTAGTCACTATTTTGATTAAATCGATTATCTTTTGTTTTTTTCCTCGGTGCTTGAACACGTTCTACAATATCACCATTTTGTTTTTGATATATTGTTTTATTAACTATTTGTCGTTCAGGAGTGGGCATTCGACGACGAATTGTCCTATAGATTGGCTCAGGATCGGGCAAACGAATTACTTGTCGATATCTTCGTGGTTGACGACGAGTTGTTAAATAAGAACTAATATCACCAGGATTACTACTACTCTTCCATGAAGTTGAAACTGGTGCAGAGTAGACATTGTTATTATTGTTAAAAGGAACTGGTGAATAGAATTGGACTGGAGTAGTTTGTGGATAGTAGTAGTATGGTTGCTGTATTCGAACATTATTGTCCATTGTGTACAATTGGTTAGACATCATTTTAAAAACGGCTTAGTAATCGATGATAATGTTCTATAAACAAATAATTTACCAAACATTAATTACAAAGTAGAGATATGCACGGGTACCATTTGCGTACCCGTACGCGATCCGAAAATTTTTTTTCCACCCGTACCCTTTTGTTTTTCGACTTAAGATGTCAAATTATCATTACGTTCTCAAGTAATTCTTTTTTTAAATCTTCATGTATTTTAGCTAAACTCCTGTATTTTTTTACTAAAATTTTGTAGGTTTTGTACTAGAACCTTCCGGTTTTCGGATAAATTAAAAAAAATAGAACCCGTACCCGTAACTGCTCTACCCATACCCGACAACTTTGTACCCGTACCCAACCTTCGAGTCGGGTCGAGTTGCACATCTCTATTACAAAGAATCTGAGGATTCGTAAATCAAAGCATCTTATTTCTATGGGAGGATCACGAATAGAAAAGAAACAATACAAATGTAGTTCAATCTTTGACCAAGAATAAGCGATTATTCAATCGACAAGAAAGATTTTGACCGATTTTATGATAATGTGTCGAACTAAGTTAAAGGACGCGATAGAACAGGGACTAACTAGCGTCCTTGATATAAACCGAAAGAGAAAAAGGATAAACCGAATCTTATCAATACAAGATGATTTAAGTTAAAGATTGTTGATTGTATATTTTTTAATACTAAAAAAGCAATCGAAGTGTAAATCATCAAAATTTCTTGAGAGAAGCAATAAATTGGACGAATAGTGAAAAATAATCTTACCTCCACTTCAGTTCTTCAAAAATACAACTGGCCACTTTCATGTGGTTAACATTCGAATATTTATAGTTCGGATACATTTTTCATTAGATACACAAAAAAAAACAAAAAAAAAAAAAGAGCCTTGTTTTCAGTAGAACATCTGAGGTTAAAGATTACAATCACAGATATACATATATAATATAGAAAAAAAAAGAGAAAGAAAAAAAAATGAGAAACATATGTACGGATCTTAAATATCCGTTGTGGTTAAATATTGTATACTATTTGCCATAGAACGAAAGAGAGAAAGAAGGAAACATTTGGTGAATAGGCGATAACATTACATGCTACCTATCACACAGGTATCATTCATTAACCAGCACATGTCTGCAAGGATGTATGTTTTTGGTCACGCTTCACTAGTTTGCAGTGGACTAAGAACTTTTTTTCTTTCGATTATGAAAAACAAAAAAAGTTATGATCTGTGTATAGGTGGTGGACATTAAATAATAATAGAGGTGTGTACACGCGTAAAAGTGTCAGTTTGATAGTTTACGTACTATCCTAATATTTGATACGGTTGAAAGATAATGTCCTAATCGAACATAACTTAATTGCCCTTAGTTTTTCGCTTTAATATAGCTAAACAATATATTTTGCAATCTATAAAAGGTAATTGGAATACGTATCACTATCTAAACAAACGTAGATTAGAGAACCCTTAAAGAATGTTATCACACGAAAATCTCTAAGAGTTTAAACGAATTTCGAAACTCCGTTAAGTATTTGAAAGAATGGAAAAGATTTTTTCTAAATTGACTATCGAACTCTATTATTTTACTAAAAAATCAACGAATTTTTAAGAATGATTCCTAAACCATTTTGAGTTTATAGGTCATTTTTAAAAATCATTCCATGTTGTAAACCCTTTTTTTTGTCGACCTTTTTAATTCATTTTATTAGAAGAGATATATAAACGCTTTTTTGCATACTGATTTAAGTAGAAATCATGCAACAACTGAAAATATTATATAATTATTAGAATCCCCAAAAAAATTGAAGAATAATTTCACCGTTGAAAAAATTATCTACGGTTAGAAGCAAATTTTTTTCTTTTAAACAAAAGAATGCTTTATAAGACTTTAATAACAAAACAAAAAATTGTTGATGGTTTATTATATTAAAAATGGTCGTACTATCATTGTACGAATAAACCATAAAAGAATATACAAGTAATAACAATAATAATTCCTCCCCAAATGATGGCACCAATGATACTGGATATAACTAATACATTACCCACTTTATGTGAAAGTTTATCAGCATTAATAAGTTCTTTGTTGTCTTTCAATTTTTGAATACGTTTACTGTCATAAAGTGCAATAATTGGTCCAATAGTAAAAAAACAAAATATTGTTGCCACTAGAGCCCATATATAATAATCTTTAATATGATTAGGATTTAGTGGTTTAATAATGGGAATAGGTGTAGACTTTTTTGGTAGATTATTTCTTGCTATTGATGATGATTGTTGAAATCGTTTCATCTGTTTTACAATATTAGTCATATCACTATTATCTGTATCATTTACAATTTTGTTTATATACGAAGCCATTTTTTGCTTTTTAATTATATTGTTAGAAAAAATGGTTTAAAAATATACATGAAAAAAAAAAATGTTTTAAGTTTTAAATTACGGATGACTCTATTTCTTTTTTTCTTTCTTTAAAAATAGAAAGCATCTTACAGTCTACGTAGAAAGAAATTCTGTCGAAAAAAATTTTAAAACATTTTAATTATTAAAAATAAAAAAAAATAACTGAAATGAATGAAATACACTAATGCACACGTATTTCATAGAAGATTGTTTGTTCTTATTTCTGCTTGATGTTACTTGTGTATGATGTGTGACGTAAGTCTGTAAAATATTATCTGTCTGTTAGTAAAATTAAACATCACTATACATAATGAAAGACACAAAGTTTGACTGAATAAAGGGGAAAAAAGTGGTTCATCCATATTCATTCATAATTTAGATTTTAAACAAAAAAATCATCTATATTTTGGTCGTGTTGAATGTTATATAATTTTAAAAAGTAATTAATAAATATTTTTGATAATGATGTCCATTTATTTTCCATGTTTTTAAGTTTTTGATTAGCTTTTTTCATAGAAAAGTATAGTTATTTTCATTTAATTATGAAAATAGAACGCGTATCACAAATATATGTGTATGAATCAACAATCATATACGTATACTAGTTAAAAACTATATATTTTATATCATGTATGTCACTAGCAATAATATGATACTCAATCAGTAATAAAAAAATAACATATTTTAACTGCTTGTGTACGTACATACATAAAAAAATTATTCTGTATATGTCATTGTTTATGCGCTTTCAACCATTTAAAAATTAATCAAAAACAAAAAAATATCAGTCATATTTAATAATCGAACAAATATAATGTGAAAAAATAATAAATTGCTTCGAGTAATTAACTATCCTCTATCGGACTAACTAGAGTGGAATTAAACTAATCTTACAGAAAGAATGATGTAATTTTTATTTTCATTTTTCTCCTCTTACTTTGCACTCACAGAGCTCATTATTCTTACCAAAAGATTCCTCATTCATTTCTCTACAAAATGGTGTATAGTAGATGATTCTAAGGTTTGAGACACTGTCTTAATTGAACAAAAATCGAAATGTTCTAAAAACTTAACAAATTTAACTTAAAAAAGTGTATTTCATCAGTATGAAATTGAACATATGCGTAGACCAAAATGTAGCCCTTAAAATTCTCTATCAATTAGTTATAATGCGGATTTTCTATCGTTATTTCTATAATGTTTTGTTGAACCGTAATGTTTTTTGCCAAAACCCCTGTGACTGTTTTTTCAGCTTTTTCAACGTGCATTTTGGGGCTATTTGTAACATGAACAGTGCTCAGTCAGAAATGAATCAATTAGGCTCATTCTTGCGTCACTTTGAAGACAAATGCTTGATCTACTCGAGTCATGTGCGAAACGTTTGATATAACTTTCTAAAAATATTCGAGATGCTGAAACTAGCACATTACTTTTTTATAATCTTTATTTATTTATTGATGAGACATATAGTTATAACTAACACAGGTCAAGAGAGAGCAGAGTTTGATTATTATCGTTCTGTCTAGTCAATAAAAAGTAGAAAAAATAGAAAGCAAAGTAGCGAAGAAAAGAATGCAAATACATAATAAGAAAACAGAAAAAAGACATAAAGGCAACAAACAAATGACAGAAGAAAGGAAGGAGAGGATCGAATGTGCTAAGAGGTGCAGACCAAATTTTTACATCGCAGGCATTTTAGGCAATTTAAGACATTTCGATTTTTGTTCAATTAGGACAACGTCTCAAACCTTAGGATCATCTACTATACACCATTTTGTAGAAGAAATGAATGGGGAATCTTTTGGTTAAAAAATGAGCTCTGTGAGTGCAAAGTGAGATGAGAAAAACTGAAAATAAAAACTAGATCATTCTTTCTGTAACACCCGTTATACTAGATATGCACGATAGTAATACGTTCATATCATCAGTTGTTATTTTTAAGCTTAAAATGTACAAATGTGTTTAACAATGAAAACCATGCATAAGAGATAAAGTCATATCACGGATAAAAAAAATTAAAGTTTGTTTAGAGTTAAAGAAAAGTACTTTTTCGTATACAGTACACTTGATTACCTGGAAAAGTTTCTATTTTTAGCGAGGGGTACCGCCAAAAAGTTAAGAAAAATTTTCAAACAAATTGACGCAGAAAAATCTCCATGGTAAAATTATACAATTTCGAAAATTTTTCTTAACTTTTTGCGGTACCCCTCGCTAAAAATAGAAAATTTTCCAGGTTATCAAGTATGCTGAATACGAAAAGGCACTTTCTTTAACTCTAAACAAACTTTAATTTATTGTCGGTGATATGAATCGTTCGAGAAAAATTATCATAGGTAATCTTCAAGTTTCATTTTCTTTCATCCCGTACGCTTGACAACGTTCATCCTAAAATTTTTAAGGAAACACGCATATCATATTTGATAATAATGAATTGTTAACAGTTAATTATATTTTTGTATCTTACATTGAAGGGAAAAAGATAAGAATTCCTTTTAAAATCATATTAATAAGAATTAATTTAACAAATTTTTCGTTCTCTCGTTTTGTTTATGTATTGTACATACCAGAGACCGAAATGGGTCGGGTGGATCCGCGGATCGGATCGGATCCGATTGTCTCTGCTCGGGTTCGGGTCAATGTAAAAAATATTGGTTCGGGTCGGGTTCGGGTTAAAGTAAAAAATATTGATTCGGGTCGGGTCAAAGCAAAAAAAATTTGGATTTTATTCGGGTCTTGCCACTAGAACACAAATCAGGAGAGTTTCGCCGGTTCCAATTCACTCTTCTATTTCCAAACATATGTCTTTTTTATCAAAAAGAGAAGTACAGTGTTTTTTCCTTTCTGCTATGACGCTGTGTAATGTACAGTCTCGTACTGTTAAAGTAAAGAAAGAAAAGAACGATATATAGAAAAACGTGTTTAATAATTCTCGTTCGTATACAGCATTGTTTTTTGATATATCTGTATCTGAATTCTTTTACCTTTATTGATAGACAGTTAGTCGAAGACACTGCTTTTTTTGTTAAAAATGGCTTCTAATGAATTTAACTATACTTCATCCAAAATAAGTACGTAGCTCTTCTATTAAGTAATTACTAAGGAATCAGAAGCGCAATCGGTTCTCTCGTTTAATCTTCACGTTAATTAAAGCGTGGATGATTTTTGTATGTTGCTGTTTTAGCTACGCTCTTGAAATTAAAATCTACACAGTATGTTGTTGTTAATAATCCAAGTGGTGTTCGTAGTAACTGCTGGAAGATATTCGGTCTTCCTGCAGAGGTAATCGATGAACCAACAAATAAAACAAATATTATTAAAGAATTTGCAAGCTACAGAAAAATTTTCGGGAGGAAAAACAAGGAGTAAAAGTTTGTACAGGGAGAACTTGCTGGAAATCTGAAAAATTTTCGGGTCATTCGGATCGGATTCGGGTAAAAAATCTTCGGGTCGCGTCGGATTCGGGTCATCCACGTAACACCCGATTCGGTCTCTGGTACATACGGAACTTCAAACTCGCGAGACAATGTAATCATGATTTTTTTTCTTTCTCGTAGTGCTGTTTTGATTAGGACAACTAATTTGACGTTTATTTTTGTTACAAAATACGATAAATAGTGTTTGAAATCTCTATAATACCCCATGCTAGCTACAACCCAGGACGTCGAAAACGGTGTAATTAATTGCCAATTAAATGCCATTTAATACGCTGTTAATAAGCATTTAAATGGTATTTTTATGACATTCAGCCCCGTTTTTAGGCCGTTTTTTGCCATTATAACTGGGAACGTTTAAATGCATTTATTTCGCATTTTTTTAAATATCAAAAGACAGTCAAATAACAGGTATTTAACTGCTGCCAGTAACCCTACTGGCCACATTTTTTGCCATTTAAATATCAATTGTTAGACTGTTAGAAAATGTGAAAAAAATATCTTCTGAACATGAGATAAATTGGCTGTTAAATGCCATTTTATGACCAGTTTTTTGCCATTTTGAAATGGAGAAAAAACGGACATTTAACGGCCACATTTATTTGGCATTAGTTAACACGGTCTAATAAATGGACGAAAATGCCATTTAGTGGTGTCCGTAAAATGACAATTTTTCGGACATTGCCTATAATCTGGCATTATTTTCACTGTTACTTCAAAGTCAAAAAATTGTCATTATAATGGCTGTTAAATGACAATTTTCATTCGTTTTTTGCACAATTAACAGGCTGTTAATGAACAATTAAATGCCAGTTTTCGTCGACCTGGGAATATACGCACATTAATAGTCATATACGAGTACAGATATATGCTCACATTGGGAATCTAATATAAAGAATGAGTATTATATGACGTAAAATTGAAATACTAAAGATTAAAATTATTCATAAAACAAAAGTTTAGAATCATTTTCAAGTAAAACAATACGCATTGTAAAAAAAATCAAAATTTCAATTTAAAACTAATTTAAAATTTCCAAAATATTGTGTATATTATTATTCATTATAATTATATAATTACAGATATGATATTTTTATATTTTAAATTTGTCAAGAAGAATTAAAATTTTATGAAGTCAATTCTTTATAACATTGATCGCATACACGAACGGGCTTCTTACTGGCAGCCAACGGCGTAGTTTTTGATGAACATTGATCACAAAATATATTACCACAATTTCGACAATGATGCTAAATGAAAAACTGATCATTTGATACAGATAAGTGATAAAACTGTGGCTCAGATTGAGTTTATATTCAATTTTTGATAAAAAAGAAAGATTAGTTTTCTATATACATAATGAATATTCCTTTGAATATTTGAAGTTTTAAAATTATCTACGATATTTTGTAATACTGAATGTACCATATTTACGAATTAAAATAATTAATTGTCTTACTTTTCTCATTGTGACACTAAACTGTTGATTACACTTCATACAAGCAAATACATCACTATCTACGAGCCAACGACGATTAGTTTGTATGTTTGTTTGAATCTTTAATAGTAATAAAACATAACATTAGATAGATGTATGACAATTTCATCTTTTTTTCTACTTGTAGTCCTTGAAATTCTCTCGCCATCTCTTGTAACGCTGACTCTAGATCATTATTACGTTTTATTAACTGTTGATTTTCAAATATATATTTATCATGTTTATTTTCACTTGTTAATAACCGTTCCAATAATACACGACGTTCATCTTGTCCAACAAGAAGTTTTGATTCAAGATCTTAACAGATAATTATTTCTCTATTTCAGAAGAAAACACAATTTATTATTTTTCCAATAATGTTCGATAGGAGAACGAACAAGACTTGTGTTTTTCGCTGTTCTATGACAAAGATGGATTTAAAACATCAACATAAAGTTAGTGCATCTTTGAAAGAGTTGATTGTATTACACTATCAATTCTTATAGGTAGGATCAAATTACCAGACTCTTCTATTCCAGTTAAAAACCTAAAACCTCATTAAAGTTTAGTAATCGAAGAGGTTTCGTATGATACCCTTCAAGATTTTGTATCATACTCTTCAAGGTTTCGTATTCAAACAGGTTTCATAGCACACCTCTTGAAGGTATAGTAGTAGAAAACGTTTCGTACTATACCTCTCTATGCTACTCTCATATGAGAGGGCGCTTGTTTTTTGTTCGCAGCCACCTAGGACGTCGAAAACGGTGTAATTAATTGCCAATTAAATGCCATTTAATATGCTGTTAATAAGCATTTAAATGGTATTTTAATGACATTCAGCCCCGTTTTTAGGCCGTTTTTTGCCATTATAACTGGGAACGCTTAAATGCATTTATTTCGCATTTTTTTAAATATCAAAAAACGGTCAAATAACAGGTATTTAACTGCTGCCAGTAACCCTACTGGTCACATTTTTTGCCATTTAAATATCAATTGTTAGACCGTTAGAAAATGTGAAAAAAATATCTTCTGAACATGAGGTACTATCACCTGCATCAAGTCAAGAACCACAGACCACTTCTCCGAGGCAAGTTTCTATGACTCGTATAATTGAAGAAGAGAAACACTCTAAACTATTTTAGGAAAATCAGAGTCATTTATACTATTCATGACAGTAGAATAAAACGGTGAATGATTTGGTGACTATAAACTGGCTATTAAATGCCATTTTATGACCAGTTTTTTGCCATTTTGAAATGGAGAAAAAACGGACATTTATTTGGCATTAGTTAACGCGGTCTAATAAATGGACAAAAATGCCATTTAATGGTGTCCGTAAAATGACAATTTTTCGGGCATTGCCTATAATCTGGCATTATTTTCACCGTTACTTCAAAGTCAAAAAATTGTCATTATAATGGCTGCTATATGACAATTTTCATTCGATTTTTACACAATTAACAGGCCATTTTTTGGCATACGGTTAACAGGCTGTTAATGGACAATCAAATACTAGTTTTCGTCGACCTGGGTTTCTCTTTATTGTTGCTGAAAAATAATGACATTCAACAAGTTCATGTAGTAAAAATCTCTAAATTCATGTTAAAATTTAAAGAAAATAATAATCATTTTTAGAAATATGTCTAATAAATATCGTTTTCCTTTCCATCCATACACACATACTGCTGCGACAACTAAATAATAGCCTCTCTGTTCGTTTTTTCTATTTTACTACTGATATTTTTCGTCATATATTGTTCAGTCATGATGTTATGTTTTCTTTCAGACTTGGGTGTCCGGCCTGGTTCTTCTTGGCAGAACAGAGGCCTGGTTCTTCTTGGGCTTTTTCTTTCTTTTGAATAAATTGTTTAAATTAACTAAAGTTAGCGTTAATTATTTTGTATCATATATGAACTCATTCTTATAAATTAAAATTGTAACATTTCATTATTGAAGCAGTTATAACATAAAATACTAAAATAGACATAAGAAATATACTAAGATACATAGAAATAGCAATATATTGAAGAAAATAACATCGGATGGACATATATAATGTTTTATCTCCTGACATTCAATGACAGAAAGGACATCTCTTGAATGCATGAATACAGTAGATAGTTCTTCTAGCTAGTGGACGTTCTCGTACTCAGAACTAAGCTACTGCCAGATGTTTTTAGCTTTCTCACTGTTCACAACTGACTGGAAGGAAGCAGCGAACTACGAAGGTAGAGTCAATCTTAATTTTGGACTATCAAATAAAACTACTTGAGCTGACTCTAGCAGTTGATCTTGTTAAACAGAACCAGCTTTTTGAGAAATCCTTTGGCTGATTCCCGAGTTTTCAATCAGAGGGACAGCAAGAGAGCATAAGATCAAGTTTTAAGCATTAGCACACAAGAAGAGCATACATCTTCTAAGAAGTGTATACATGAACTTTCAAGTGTGAGTACATTGATGATATGCAAGATTCGTATATTATGGTGTGTTTCTTTTCATCCACATTTTATTCTTGATGTTCGTTTCAAACAAAAATGAAAACTTTGATCAATCTTTCTTGCATGAAATCGTGTTCGTCACGTAGCAATACATGTAACAAAACATGATCTGATACTGATGGTTTCTGTCTTCATATATTGACTATGGTTAGTCAACAAAACGCACCATCTACTACCTCTGGCGCACCAGATAAAGTCGATGTAACTAGGTTCACCAGTTTTATTTAATTTTTAATTTTTGAAAAGAACTGATAACCAGTTCCCGTTCAAAAGAACTGAACTGGAACTGTCCCACCCCTAATCAGGGGTTAACCATTATTTTGTGATAACCATTTTGTTATATGGGCAATGTAATTTCCATACTTTGAAACTTTAATTCTGCCCTTCTCACGAGGTCATTCCGGCCATATGTTGGCTGCAGCCGACTCTCAAGTGATAGCAGTCTTCTAACTGAACTAAGATTAGGAACTATATCGCGCGTTTATATATTCAGATGCAGGGATCTCGAATCCACAGAAGTGCTCGCCGGACTCAATGATCTCAATGTACTAGGTTCTCCTGCAATTCAAACATACTGTGCAACGACACAAGCCTTCGAATGCCGATGATGATATAGTGCCTTTAATTGTAAGCTCATTCAGCTGAACGATTCTCGATTTTAATGGGAATTTCTACTTCCTTGTTCGTTGAACAAACCTCTAAAAATTAGTTTTTCTATAGTCGTATGTTCTGCCTGCATCTACTATATAAATATTTTAGTCTCAATCCTTTCGTGACTAATTTTGGTGATTCTTAAGAAAAAGAGAAATTAGAATAATTTTGCTGTCACACTTTAACTCACAATAGAATTTATACAAAGTTCAGTTTTTCAAACTGTTTAATGATCATTTTGACAATTATCGAAACACATGACATATAGATCCATGGCAATCGGTACATGAAGAAAATGAATGCTAATCGTGTGTGAAATCATTTGAATAATGTGAAAAGAGCTTAATGATCGGCATTTTTCTTGAGACGGTGGTCTATGAATAGAATCCAAACAGGACAAGACGCAATACACTGTCGATACGTGCACTTGAAGGAGAAATACAGATTCACAAATTAATAGGTATACACTAATTATATAACTGGTATCAGAGCATCTAGAAAAATTAAATTAATATGGTTCTTAAGAAACGTCGAGAGCTGCGTAATGTCTCATTCTGTGGAGAAATGTTTGCTCTATGTAGTCTGTTTGCTGCATGAAGTTGTATTCATCACTTAACAATATACATAAGAAAAGAATTAGCTTCGCTTGTGGTGTACGTGTTCTAATGAAGTAGAGTCAGGGTTCTCGTGTTCGTGAGTGATGTTCAACTATTCTTTCTTACTCTTGCGCCTTTGCAATGTTCGTGCAGCGTAGTTGCGTTCTAGTTAAGTAGTGAGTGCATCTTCTCGTTTTGCGCACTTTTCTTTTGTATAGGAGAAACTGTCGAAAGATAGAGCAGAAATTCATTCGTGGAAACATCATATTTTATTTTTTTTTCCGTTCAAAACGAGAAAACCTTGTTTCAATTTCCATTTGCTCTTTTCTTTAATTTACCCTCTCGAACTCGTGTGTATGTGTCATATTCCGATAATGGTCATTTCATGTGTTATTATAAACTAATTAAATCTGGTGGCCAAAAGTTTTAAACATTTTTCTTTCTTTCCAAATGCTTCATGTAACAGAACATTTTTTGTCGTTTTACAATTTCATTCATTGACACAACTACATCGATCTTAAAATACATTTGATTCTTTTTTCTTCTATTAAATTGTATCATATTTAGAAATGTAATTGTAAAAGATCATGATGTGTGGTTCTGACAGACACTGTAATCATTGAACTAGTTCAGTATATCACCTTCTCGTAACGCAAACCACGATAGATAAGGAACAGCAGAAATCATCTTCCGTAAGACAACAATCACCTTTCCTTCTCTCTTTTTATATGATAGTCTTGTGCTCATTTTCTTTTATTCCTTTTTTTTTCATTTTTGAAGTTTTATCTCGCGTAGTATAGATACACGCCTACAACACATTCAATTTTTCTTTTTTTTTTTCGCTGCGGTTTTTCTTCTAGTCTTCCTACTGTTATAACAAATATTTTTATACATGGCATCATCTCAGAGAAGAAGAAAAAATCACCTCCTCTTATATACTCTTCTCAATCATTGAAATAATCCTTATAGAGACTATATACTGCTGAACTTTAATACAATCACACATCATATAACCATAAAATTTAACAGAAACTAGCGAGAGAAAAAGTCACAAAACATTTTCATAGCTTTAAGATTTCTGCTGCAATCCGATGGTGAGTAATTAAAATTAGATTAGATTTCAAACAGGTAAATATATGTTAACCAATATTTAATATGAAACGCAATGATAGTTGTTCAAAATAACTGTTCATTTCTATATGGACTCAAATCTTACCAAGAAATGTTTTGATAGTCTAGAATTCCATACTAAAATAAACTACTAATGTAGATTATTGTTAAAATGAATTTGTCATATATCACGTATGACGTACTTGTATCGAATAGTACATTTTACTAGAGGCTGTCTTCAATTTTGTAAGTTTTTTAGCAATATTTTGATAATTTTATATGATAACAATAAACTATTGTTTCTAGACTATTGATTATTTTTCTCAATTAAACTAAAATTGTTTTGTCTTAACAAATCTTTTCTAACATCCAAATGTATTGATTGACTAATACATACGAACATATTTTCTTGTTATTTTTTCAATAAAATTTTCTATACAATATGAATTCCGATGGATAAATAATATTAATAATTTAATGGTACGTCTTGTACATCTAAACAAGTGAAAAATAAGATAAATGTTGAAACAACTTTCTATTATAGACGGATCACTTTAAAATCATTTATTCATTTTTTTGCCATAGATGAGAAATACAATTAGTCTGAATGAACGTAAGATGGACTATCAGTATTTTATTCTCTTGATTATTAACCATCGATAAATGAAAGGGTAAAAGGAAACTGTCTGCTTATTCTGATTGCTTTTGAGATTTGAACATGTATTTTATGTTAATATTCAACTCTAAAAAAAATCCTCAACATAAGATCTATTCCACTTTTAGATAATTTATGAAACTATAAAAAAGAAATTAAGAAAAATATTTTCTTCTCTTCAGGATGGTTAGAGTAAACTTTGAGCTGTTTTCATAGCGTCTCTTGAAAAATAGAAGTTAATAATACATTCTTACAAGATTCGAATGAAAAATCTTATGTTGTTCAATAATCTTATACTATATTTTATAAACATAGTATGCACACACATTTAGGATCGATGTTGTCTGTAATTATGTCGTTTGATTGCTATAATCATCAGACATTTCGGACATCGTCGATTCCGGATTATTCTGTTGTTTACTTTAAGGATACTCCATCCCTTCCTGAAACAAAATAGATCGACTTTTGAGTTAAACATGGTGTATCATAGAGTCAAATATACTCTACAAATTGAGACAATTTTCAGATCTCTTAAGGAGATATAAGTTCACCCTTTTTGGGACTTTTAATAAAATGCTTATAACTTTAGAAGGAAACATTGAGGAGAATTAGGAGACGTCTCATTCTGAAGAAAATTTTTCTACAAGACTGGTATCTGAAAAAATAATATATTATTAAAAGAAAAGAAAAAAGTTTCAAAGATTGAAAACTAGAATTTTTTCAGTATAATCCGATAAACATTAAAAAACTCATATCCCCCTTATGAGATCTGAAAATTCTCTCAATTTGTAGAGTCTACTTGATTCTGTGATACACTGTGTTTAACTGAAAAGTCGATCTATTTTGTTTCAGAAGGAAATGAAGTA